CATTCCTGGGGACCCTGCATGGCACCCCCTCTGCCGCGAGGGCCGGACTCTCCCTGCAGAGGCCCGTCCGACCTCCCCACCGTCGTGACTCTCCAGCTGAGGCCTCCACCAGTCAGCACCGGGCTCCACCTCAGACGGGCAGGAGAGTTCATGCAGACACACACTAAAATCCAGATCTGGGAACGCACACTGACAGAGCCTTCATCTTGGTGTTTACTATTACACAGGCGCCTTTCTAAACCATCCTCAGGGCCACCATCAGATCCCTCGGGGAGGGAGAAAGCCCGGCGTGCATTGAGGAGGTTTTCTGCTTTGCAGAAACTTAAGTGCAACTGTTTTCCATGAGAGTGCTGGGCAACTCTAACCACAGCCATGATTTGGGTCACTAAATAATGTTACAATGGACAGCGAGACAACAAGCTGCCAGCAGAGAAGTGTGAATGGGACAGTATTGCTCTGTTGTGTAAAATCCTACAAGTAATGTATGCGTGCTTAAGACTCAAGAAATATTTCCCACTTTCTTTCTCTAGCGAAATACCATTAAGAAGTTCACCCCTCTGTACTATCTGCTAAAGGAAGGTCTTGGTCCTGCATGGGGGACTTGGGGGCTGCATTTCTCTTGGCCTTATTTTCTTCAGGCTTACATAAACTCCAAAGCAAGAAAGTATGGAACACACTTCAGCGAGGGCTTGGCGCAGAGCCCCTTGAAACCCAAGGGAGCCTGACATGGTCTGTGCTCTGGGCTCACGGTAGAACTCGTGCCCTACGAGAAGTGGGCAAACTCACCTCCCCAGGCTCTCCCTCCTCCTCCTGCCCCATACAGTTCTGCAGCTCCTGCCTGTTGGGGTGAGGAGCACGGCTTCCCAGATGGCCCGAGTCCTACACTCCACCGTTTACTGGTAGCGATGCCTGGAAAGCAAGCACAGGACCAGCCCCACATGGTGCTCCATGCTGCACATCTGTCATGAGTGGAGCATGCACACAAAATGAAAATATTCTCATCTTCCCAGGCATCTGCTCACAAGGTCCCAGACTCCCTGAGCCAGGGCCAAGAGCACGTCAAGTATGGTCTATCCCAAACAATTTACTACGCACTCACGGCCGCTTGTGCCGAGGCTGGCATTTGGCCAAGTACAAAGTGACAGCAAAGAAAATTTAGGCACTGTAGTGACCTTAGCAAAACAGCCCAAATTTAGCAGAAGGAATCGCAAATGCACACAGAATACCCATAGCCAGACAGCAGCTCATTTGAAGAAGTCACCTCACATGATTTATCAGGGTGACTCTACCTTTTCTCCTTTTCTACACGTTCTACTACTTTTTTAGAGGGGTCCATAAAAGAGCACAAAGCCATAGATTTTAAGCTTCAGGCTAATTTGGAATAAGCCCATAGCTACAACACACCAGTAGGAAATTATGTAAACTCGTTGAATTAGGTTTTGTGGTGAAGAAGAAAATAGTTCCCTGTTACACACTTCTTTTTATCTAGAAAATAACAAGAAGAAGAACCTGTGCTGCAGAAATGGACAGCAGCTCTGCAGCAGGGAAGAGAGAAGTTGTCAAAGTGCTTTAGCCTTGTAGTACGGGAAGCAGAGTTAGAAATGCTGCCGAGCAGAGTGCTCTAGGGTGTTCCCTGCAAAGTTACATTATACGCTTGTTTGCTGTGGAGCGCACGAGCTACTTTTACCTCGGTCTCTTGGTAGCAACCTAAACTTAAAGAATACATTTCCTTCTCTCCATAGCATAGGCAGGGCACCCCTTCATGCTTTTCTACTGTGTTTTAGAGAAGCTAGAACCAAATAAACTGGTTCATAGTATAGTGATTGGACTTTCACAGGCAACTGTGCGGAAGGAGCTCAGCAGGCAGCCCTGCTCCCAGAACCATAAGCCTGCCCTGCCCTCATGACATGCCAGCATTGATCACAGCTTGTTAAAATAGTGCTGAAAACTTGCCAGAAGGAACTCAGCTCCTTCGTAGCTCATCTGTAGGCTCTCTAAGGGCCTTGGGTGAGTCGCTTCATCCCACTGGGGCTCAGTTCCTGACTGTGCAACAGAGATAAGCAGCTCAAGTGTGCTCTGCATATATAGATTTGGGAGGGGTTTGGTCTGAGCACTGTTGGTTTTTTTTTCCTGCCAGGATAACTGTAAGTTTCCAAGCCTGTGGCCCTTAGATACCCCACAGTCAAGCTAATACTTGGCTACAGCAGTGTTGACAGAGCCCTGCGCAGCTGAGCTGGACATGAAGTCATGTTCAGACCTTGCTGTACATGACTATACCAGTGGCAATACTGTACCACCAGTTTCCCCCACAAGGCTGTGTTTTGTTTTCCAGGATTTTAGGATAACACACAAAAGTAGTATTTTAACGCCTAAGAGAGGGAGGAAATGTGTGGCACTCCAAAATGCCTCACGTACCTGCTGTGCTGAGGCTGTGCTAAGGCAAGGATCTCCAACATGCTGACTGTTGGTCAAGTCTCACCTGCTTCTATAGCCTTTTAAAAACATGGAGAGATTTTAGGTTTCCTTAGCTCTATATAATTTGGATAATTTCTTTCTGAAGTGGCAGGAATTACCTTTTAAGCTCCAACAACAGAAGCCAGCATTTCTTCCGCAGTTTTAACTAAGCGTTCAGACATGGTGCAGATCCCCAGCTTCTGAAGTCTCTGCAATTTTCACTTCTCTTTGTGTGATCAGAGTTGCCTCTGTAAAGAATTAACATTTACAACTCCATTTTGCCCAGAGGTTCACCAGGAGGTTCTCTACTTCATTTACTTGAATAAATGATTGATAAGAATGGTTGATAAGAATGAAGGAGGAAGGGCTGGATGACACAAAACATCAGCAGTGAAATGCATCAGATCTCCGAGGTCATTTGCAACATACCTAAATGGAGCAGTGACTCAGGAGGCAAGCATTCCTTCTGAGCAATGGAGAGGCTGCACGAGGGATGTGGAATCTGGGAGTTCAGGCAGTACTTTACTCACCTGCCTGTCAAATGAGTCACTTAAATTTCAACAATATTAAAATCACAGCCTGCATCTCCAAGGCAGCCAGCAGCAGACAAAACACTACGAGCATAGCACAATAATTTCCCTGGCAGTCTCAGATGTTACAAAAGATGCAGGTACCTCCACTCACACTGCCCTGACGGGGCTCTGCAGTTGAGTTTTGATTAGCAAATAATCCATACAGAAACCTCCAAGAAACAGGACCATACAGACCACAGCAAGAAGCTTGAGCTGCCCTCGCTAGGCCTTTTGAGGTGTATTTCACAGAACACTGCTCCACCACTTCCAGCATCCCCACAGCAGCTGGCAGGCACAATCAGCCGGCAGTCCCAGCGAGAGGCACTGCTCACATTATAGCGACAAATGTCGCAGTGCCTGGGAAGGCACGGGGTTGGCAGTTAGGACTCTCGTTTGCCAAACAGCTTTCCAAACATACCCACTCTGGCCGTCATCATGATTACTGTTGAGGACAGCCTTGTTTTTAACAGGTGTGGCTGCTGCATCTACAGGCATCTTTGCTTTCCACGAGCCCTAGCTTTACTCAAAGAGCAAATGCTTCCTTTTCTGGCTTGATTCAGGGAATTCAGTCCATCTAGCTGACTGGTCTTGGAGAGACCTTGCAGGACACCACACTCAGAAGAGACTCTGATCCTGATCAAGATCACATGAAACATTTTGTGTTGAAAGTAACGAAAAGGAGGCGAGAAAAAGAGGCTGGAAAAAGCTGAATAACAAGCTGGTTTGTTGCTCCAGGAAAGCACCTAGTGACCATTTCCACTCTAGTGTTGTTGCCTTGACCCCATGGGGACCCAATCTGTCATGCTGCTAGTGCAGTTTGGCATGGATAACTACAGTGTTTCCAGGCTCCACAGTGGGTGCCTGCTGGCTGTCAGGCTACTGACACTTCCCGACTGTGCCAGCTGGGCTGTGGCTCTCTGCAGTTGATCTGGAGCAGAAAAGTGCCCGACCTCTAACAGAGGCAGTTTTGCTGTTCAGCCACACACAGTATTCCTTCCAACCAGTGCTGCTAAGACTGAGCACTTTACACCACTAAGCAGATGGTTCATTATCTCCCATCCCATTTGCCATTGCATGATTAGAACAGGCAGTGGATGGGAAGGCAGTGGGCCTAGCAGAACACTGACAGTTACCAGAAGTGCTTTGCAGTCAAGCAGAATTCAGACTTGCAGACTTGAGTGCAGAGACTGCAGAGGATCTAGTAACCCATTCTGGAAAGTCCAGAGCTCAAGAACCCAGACAATTCCTATTTTTTCCAGCCACTAACCTGAAAAAAGCATTGACAGTTAACATTAAGACAGTGCTTTCAGGAGAGCAGAACTGCATCCAGCTGCAGTCGGCTGGATACAAAAGCAGTGCTGTATGAAGGTATTAGTAGATTAACAGATAAAAAAATAGATTAATAGACTCAGAGGCACTTAATTGTCTAGACTTCTTTAAGCACCACTTTTTCAATGTACCTTATAATACTTGTAATGCATCTTGAAATGAACTGCTCATTGTCAATGAGGCATTACAGATATATAGAAAGAAGAACCTTTGGGGCTCTCAGATTCTTCTTCTTTCTTTCATCACATCCATCCCCATTAATTACTTGAGCTGCAGGCAGCTCACGCCCTCTGCAGCTCAACTTGAATCGACCTGGCAGTACCTTTTGTCACAAGAGACAGGTAAGTCACTGCAGAAAGTAGATACAAGGCACGCACGCAGTGGGACCACACTGCCCGAGCATAGTGTGGAGACCCAACAGATGTAGACAGAGATATAAAAATAAATAATTTTTTAAAAAATCTAGCACCTACAAACTGGTTCTAGTTTCCTCTTTACCTCTTGGAGGACAAGGAAAGTAGAGCCCCATAGCTGAGCTCCTCTATTCTGATGGGAAACTTGAGCACAGAGAATGGGATGCAGCAGTAAGACCTCTAGAATCACTGCCATCAACTGCATTGGCACTTGCAAGTGCCACACAATTTTTCAGGATGCTTCTCCCCTCCTAAAGAAATCTTCTACCAGCTTGTCGAATTTCTGTGAGGAATTCTGCTTTAGAACATTCAAGGGAGTGAGTAAATACTGCTCTGCAAATCCAGTTGGAAAGTGCTCATTGGAAACAGGTGCCTGGCTAACAGCGCTAGCTGCTCTTGCTGCTCCTGGCTGTTCTCCACTCAGCTCTTCCTTCCCTTTCTCCTTGCCTGTGTGACAAGTGCAGCCTTCTTTCGAGCAGAAAGCTGACTCGCAGTAGTTCTGCTGAAGAACCTTAACACCCGTGAACTCTTCAGACTTCTCGGTGTCTCTCTCTGGGGACTCATACACAACTCCTCGAGGCGCAGAATGCTGCGCAGCTCTTTTCAAGAGACACACGGGTTCCTGCCCCTTCCTTTTGCTTTGCTGCTGTACAGACTCTTGCACAGGCTTTGGGATTTTGAGGTCAGGAAGCGTCTGGGGGGCAGAACTTAGGTATTTCTGAAAGTAAGCCTGGCACATGCCACCCTTCACGATTGGAATGACCGAGCAAGGTTTCAGCCACTTCACAAACTCGCACAGCTCCGAAAAGGATGAGTGATCCGAGTACGGAATGGGGTGGATGT